TTACTGGAGTATCTGCATCCTACAATCCTGAAAAACAATACAGTAGAACTGTAGTCTAAATTTAATTACTGGACAACCGCCCCTGCGATCAGTTACAACAGTTAGAATATGCATCTTATAATATACTTTGAAAAAAAGTTATGATTTCTATTCTTATGCTTATGATTTTTTTTACATACTAATTGCTACTTATTTTCTATAATGTGACTAAGACATGCTACTAAGACATTGAAAACCATAGTTTCAGAAGTATTTTAACCAATTTATATATATATATATATATATATATAGGCTATATATATATCTATAGCTTATATATAGCCTATCCTGTATATATATATATATATATATTTATTTATTTGTTTGTATATATATATATATATATATATATTTATATATATATATATATTTATTTGTTTGTTTATGGATATATTGGTTAAAGTATTTTACAATTTTAACAAACCAGAAAACATAAAGCGTACAGGAAATGTATAATTAATTCCGGGCTGGAATTACATATTTTTAGATTTAGAATGCGAAAGACTTCCCGATGATGCTCATTGAACTCAAGTGCTTGTTGATAAATGCTAGAACTAGATATATTTTTATTTTCGAGCCTATGCAAGGAATACAAATATGTACTATATTTTTCAGAAAATATTATTTATCTTTTATATATGTTTTTTTTTTTTAAATGTCGTATTTTTCTAAACTGATCATTCGCATCACGTATAATGATAGAAGTTGATTGGCATTATTCGATCAAAATTCGAATTTGAGTAAAGACAAAATGTTTGTACCGTTTTGAGTTCCTATTTTTGTCTATCAAAATATCATTTAAAAAAAATTACAATAACACGAGTCTACAAAATATTGGACGAGACTTGTCACGTTGTAAAAGCAACACATATGAGAATTGATTATTCGAATTACGTTCGTGCAGTATAGTGAAAGGGACAGCTTTCACTATATTCAGTATGTTGAAGGTAAGTGGAACGTACCACTTTAGTGAGCGCGGACAAACGCTTGTATGTTCCCTAAATACAGTATAATGGAATAAAATACATTATAAAGTGACCATGGAAATCACTAAAATAAGTCAATATGTGACGAATAAGGAACGTCTACAAACTATCGTACATCCATCACAGCATTTTAGCATGTAGTGTAATCTATTTTTACGATATTCTTTACCAGTATCTTACCTGCTTTAACATTACAACCAAAATTAAAGTATACATAAACATTTTTGATTTTGCAAACCATTTTTTTTCTTGTGAAGTCTAACTAAAGCATTGTAGACCTATATGGTAACATAAAAAGTGTATGATTGCATTATAATTAGTCATAAAAATCTATTATTTTAAATATTGCATGTTTTTTTAATCAACATTTTCATGCATATGTGAAAGTGTACTGTTTGTACACTTGTGAAAACGTTGATAATTTTGAACGACCCCTTAAAGAGGAAGCAGTATTGAACATTATGCTTTAGAATATTCAGTTATGGCAATACTTGAAGCATTTGAAGACTGGGCTTCACAGAATTATTATTTTCTGGGTGGATCCATAGGGGACGATGGTCGTCGACGTCCGGTCCTCCCACCACCCTGAACATGAGCAGGGGCGGATTTAGAAGAGATGGGTCGGCCCCGGGTTGCCGCGTCTCCCCCTTTTGGTAAGTAAAACAAGAAAAATAATAAATGGATCGGCCAAAACGCCTCAGAGGTTATTTTTGGGCGTCTAGAAAACAGAAATTTCGCGGGAACATGCCCACGAACCCACTAGGGTGGTGGTATCTCTATCGGCCCCACTTTCGACCCCCTTTCGAACATCTCTGGATCCTGAGATCAATCTTGTAGATTGCCTTTTAGCTGGAAAAAAAGTGTTAATAGTCGGCAGCTTTTTTCTTCTTTAGGGGTGGGGGAGGGTCATACATGAGAATATTGCTTAGGCTAATATTATTGTTGGCTTTTAAATCGCTCAAAAGATGGGAAGGTGACAAAACAAAAGACGGTTTCCCAAGTCATTTAAACTTATTTTATTCATTCTTTCATTAAAACTTATTTCATTAATTTTGCAAGTATTCTGGACTTGCTCCAGTATCTCACAGCCTCGAGCAAGCCGGCCTTTTAAGTCATTATAAGGTATTCAGTCTACCATGTTCTGTCGGCCTATGCTTAAATATTTCCTTCAGCATTAAAAAATGGTGAATTTGGGCAAGAACAATTATTTTGTTAATTCACAAAAAATATCATCATTTTCATCATCATTATCATCATCATTGTCATCATCATTATCACATCATCATTGTCATCATTATCATCATTATTTTTATTATTATTTTTATTATTTTTCATTATTAACATTATTATTATTATTATTATTATTATTAATATTATTATAGGCCTGTAGGATAAAACAACGTCAGACATATACTTCAAATTGAATTTAATTAATAATTTTTCTAGATGAGAATAGCCGTAGGCTAAATGATAACAACGATGAGAATAACAGCAAGCTTTAAATGTTTTTGGAACAGTTCAATAAATAATATTATAATAATTATAAAATTACAAATGACATTTACAAAGAAGGAGGAATTTTCAGTCATGTAACACTTAACAAAATGCAAAAATAGATCTATACGATTGGTTTTTTTTTATTTCATTTTATTTTTACAGCATTATAATTACACCAACCAATCCTAAAGATTATGTACACTGATCTGGAAATCACACGGAAATAAACACAATATAATAATTCAAGATGGCAATGTAGGCTATGCCATGACAGAATCAGCGAAGTGCCTATACCAGTCTACTTCTGTCTACACGTGTAACAAACGATAAAAGACCTACTTTGGAAACATATCAGTATCAGACACATAC